GGAAAGAGAAAAGAGGACTGCTGATGTCATCATTTCTGCCCTAAAAATCCTATACCATAGGATGAGTGCCATGAGAAGGAAAAGCATCTAATCTTAGCAAAAAAAGACACCCTTTTGGACCTGTCTAGCAAAGCTGAACTTGTAGGGAATTATGCAAGACACTGATCTTTAAGAACAGCCAATTCATTGAAGTGTCTTCAAACCAGGGTGGACTGTCATCTCTGACAAGGATTAGGCTGCTGCACCTTTTAGCAGAGAGGAAAGGGCTCAGTTTGCAGTGAAGGGAACTGCAGGAGGAAAAGCAACCCCCCAGCTTGGAACAGCATTGCCTGTAAAGGCCACAGGATCAAAGCAGAGAGGGATTTTTGCTTCCTTGTGTGCATCTTGTTGTGACAGAGCTCCAGATGAAATCCTGATGGAAGCCAATGGTCTGTTTCCCAAGGGACAAGGAGGTTTGTAGTGGCAAGATGTCCTGTTTTCTCTCAAGGCAATGCTGCTTGTGCTGCACAAGGAGCCTTGCTCTTTCTGGGTTAACTCCAGTGAATTTGATTTTGCTGTTTCTCTGGTGGGGGAAAAAAAAGATCTCCTCACATCTTTCCCACCTCCACAGGCCATTTTCTTACAGAGCAGCTAAAGCATCAGGAGCAGAGTCACATGCAGACTCCTGGATCATTAAGCTGGGTAGAGGATGTGCAGGCCCCTCCACTACAGGGAGAAAGTTATTTTTAATCAGCCATTATTGATGGTACAACCAGAATACACACAATACCAGCTGTGTCCAAACCTATATATGGAAAGAGCACATACTCCCCAAATTCAGTGGAGTGCAGCAGCTCAGATGAGCATGTGAATGTGGATATATATTAAAAGAAGCAGGAGGACTTGATATGTATCTGCTCTCTGAATCCTCACTGGAATTTCTGCAGCTCTCCAGCATCTGAATTGTTCATTTCAGACAGCAGGAAACAAATTCTGCAATTAATTCTATCTTCTATGGATGCCAAAATTCAATGAATGCAGCATGTAAATTGGAACAAACTGGTGGGCTTTGTTCTGACTCTCCCCAGCCCTGAAACAATCCCCAATTACTTCTTGGCACTGCTACAATTCTTTCCTCACCAATCACTTTGTTTGCCAAGTGGATTGCTGCCTCAACTGTGTTTTCTTCCACAACTTCATCAACCAAGCCCAGCTTCAGTGCTTCAGTTGCTGGAATGTGTCTTCCTGTGAGGAAAAAGAGGAACAAGATGACTACAGTGGGGCCTGATGGGTGATTTCAGACTTTACCATCTGGTCAAATGATTTGTGGCTTCAAATATGAGACATGTTCATTATCAGGTACATAAAATGGATTCCTCATTACATGCCTCAGAAGCAGGTATGTCCCTTTCTTGGGCCATCATTAGTGGAAGAAAGCTGAATTTCAATCCAAGCAGCTACACAGGTTAAAAAAAAAGAAGGTAAAGTTTGAAAGTCACAAAAATAAGGCAGGGGGGTTGGCCTAGATGACCTTTAGAATGTATTGGGTTGGAAGGGACCTCTATGATTCTAAAAGAAATTCATGTTTCTCAGACCAAGCTGGTGGTATGACTCAATGTATCTCCTCACACACAGGGCAAGGCACAGAACATTACCTGTGGTGATCATATCCAGGGCAGCTGGCACCCCAATCAGCCTGGGTAGTCGTTGAGTGCCTTCAGCCCCTGGAAGTAACCCAATGGTGACCTCTGGTAAACCCATCCATGCCTGAAATGAAGTCAAATTCAATAACAAGTCTGATTAGAAAGAGCAACTACAAACTGAGCAGAACAGAGGAAAGACAAGCAGCCCTGATTCACCCATTGCTCCTCTAAGAAGCCTCAAGGCTTCCACATAGAAGTTTCATCCTTGCTTGTTGCCACTTAAGACAAAAGCTCAGTCAACCCTTTCAAGAACTTGTGTACAAATGCACAGGACAAAGATCACCTTTCAGTGGATGAGTGTGTGTGCTGGTGCAGCACTGGAGGAGAGCTGTGGGACCAACAGCATCCCTCAGGCTGGCACACCTGTAAACTGGTGCTTTTAAGCAGTTGTTACCAAATGCTGGAGGGCACTCTATGGATTAACTGTTACCTCCCTACTCTAATTCTTGGAAGTTGATGACAGGAAAATTGGTACTGAGCTCTTCCCCAAACTTCCTTCAAAGGCATTTCCTTCAAACAGCTCTTTGTGCACTTGGTATTTAGCAAGGTGGTGCCAGAGAAGCCAGGGCAGCAGGAAGGGGTGTCTTGCCTTAAAGATCTATAGATTTTGTCACCTTGTTTTAAAGTAAATAATGTTGCACATTTTCCATTGAGCTCTTAGATCTGGAGTCACATCACAATATGGATGTTGACTACCAAGACCAAGGGTAAATTAATACTGAGTTACTCAGTGAAGTTTCTATGCAGCCATCTGATTCTACTAGTTACAAATCAAATTTATATTCAGAAATTACTTCAAATTAGTTTAGTAAGATGTATGAATGCATGTAAAGGGTAGTGCTGTAGGGGAAGAATGTCTGAGTATTTAGCAGAGGACTTTAGAGCCCTAATGGCTCAGTGGTTGGACTTGATGATCTTGAAGGTCCCTTCCAACCTAAAGGATTCTATGATTCCCCAGACTTGTCTCCTGTAGCTGTGAAGCCCTCCTCCTCTGGGCAAGCAGATAAGCTGTCCCACTGCTCTTCAGGAGCAATCTCCCACCCTGCCCATGGCTCCCAATACCTTCACCAGCCTCTCCAGCCCTCAGCACATGTTACCTTCACATGGGCAATCCTATAGTGACAGCCAAGTGCTATCTCCAGGCCTCCTCCCAAGGCAATGCCCTCAATGGCAGCCACCACAGGCTTCTCACTCCTTTCTATGAGTGAGACAATGGGGCCCAAGGCAATTCCATGTCTCTTGGGAGAAGAAAATCCTCGAATGTCAGCTCCTAAGTTGGCATAAAGAGATTGAGAGGAATTAATGAGCAGGGCAGTGATTGGAATGATCCTTCCCTCTGTGCCATTGAATGCAGCAGCTCACAGATGGCCAAGGCCTCGCAGAGCATGCTGCTGGCAGGAGAGGGGTTAACAGGCATTAACCTCTTTTGGGACTCACTTCAAGAAATCCTGACTCTTTGAGCTTATTAAGTGAGCTCAGGGGAAGGCAAAGTACAAAAATTCATAGTAAATGTAATGATCATGTGGTTACTAGAAAAATTTGCAGACACCCTTGTAATAAAAAAGGAAGTTGAGTCTGGGATAGTCAAGTGCAAGTTAGTAACAAACAATGTGGAGCTCTACAGAAATTCCCCAGCCTCCCAGGATTCTACAGCTGGAGATCAGCTACTCACCACTACCCCACCCCAGGTACATTTCATATGCTGGACCAGTTGATGGTCCAGAGATTTAACACAAGCAAAGCTCTCCCAGGATTCTACAGCTGGAGATCAGTTACCACTACCCCACCCCACGTACATTTCATAGGCTGGACCAGTTGATGGTCCTGAGATTTAACACAAGCAAAGCCATGGAGAGTAAAGAGGCAGAGGTACCTGAGGGAGATGAGCAGCTGTCCCTCATTTCAGCATGAACAAACCAGCTTATTTCTGGTCAGGACATTCCAGCTTGTTGTGTGACCCATGTCAATTGTGGCACAGCAGAATAGGAAAGGCCCACTGTCTTGTGGCCATTTCCAGCCAAATCAGGACTTCTGTCAGTGGTGTTACAAGGCAGAGGATCTTCAGACATGGTGGGTGGAGAGTGCTTCCTCTTTTTCTCAGGCTTTTTTTATTTAAGGCCAGGCTGGATGAGGCTCTGGGCAGCCTGATCTAGTGGGAGGTGTCCCTGCTCATGGCAGAGGGGTTGGAACTGGGGAATCCTTGTGATCCCTTCCAGCCCTGACAGATTCTGATCTGTTTTAGCAGAGGATTTTAGAGCCCTCATGGCTCAATGGTTGGACTTGATGATCTTCAAGGTCTCTTCCAACCTAAAGGATTGTATGATTTGAAGGAAAATGTCTTACCTGCACTGAATTTCCCATTTTCGCCACATATCATAACAGCTTTCACTGAAGGATCTGCATCTGCTTTCTTCAGTCCATCCTCTAATGCCTGGAGAACTGTCAAACTGAAATATATTGGAGGTTCAGTGACTAACAATCAATGACATCACCCTCCTAAGACAGCTGTGTTACAAACACCAAGTGAAAATGGGCAGCATGTCCAAGCAGGTCCCTCCCCTAGCCTCTGCCACAGCCTCTCCAGGTGAATCCTTTTGTTAGTCTCCCTCTTCCCTCAAGGGCAAGCACCAAAATCCAGCAAGCTTATGACTACTGAGCTGTCATCCCATTCCTGGAGAGTCATATTTTGGCTATGACATGGTGTTTCCAAAGCAAGCAGCACAGGAAAATGTTCCTTTGAAAATGTCTTTATGAATTAAACATTCAGACTTTCAGGAAAACAGTTTAGCATCATTTAAAAGTAATTAATGCTAAACAACAGACAATCTAAGAACTTTTTAAAAGAGAAAGGAGCTCCAGGGATGAGATAAGAGCTCTCTTTCAAACACCTGCCACAGAGTTGGTGCTGTGCTGACAGTTATAATGCTTCCACCTTGTGAAGATCTTGTGTGGGATCCTGTCAAAAGTGAAGCTGGGCCTAGAACCCTTCACAGAATGTCTCCTCTTGTCTCATCTGAGCATATTTTCACAGACACAAGCAGTAAGTGTGGTCAGCAATGAACTAATGAAGACTTTCCAAATGGAACAGTAGTATAAATATTTTTACAAATGAGATATTTAAAAAAACCTGAGCTGACTGTATGACCACTTCCCATTGAAAGCTTAGTAGCTGTTTTATAGATACATGTGTGTGTATAGATGGACATGGAGAGTACAGCCTGGTTTAGAAGAGAGTGACAATAAAGAAGCTGGTAGGTAAAAAGAGAAGCATTAACACCTAACATTTCATTCATAGAAATATGAACACAAATTGTGTGTGTATATAGAATTTAGATACCAAAATATATTCACAGACACACACTCCTAAGTATATAAGCATATAGTTTGTGAGAGATTTTTCTGTGTTTTTGTGTGTATATATACTACATATGCAGATACTCCTCTGATTCAGAATATCTGAGCCACAAGCAGTTGGAGGAATACTCCCAGAAGTATTGTCAGGACTTAGATACCAAAATATATTCACAGACACACACTCCTAAGTATATAAGCATATAGTTTGTGAGAGATTTTTCTGTGTTTTTGTGTGTATATATACTACATATGTAGATACTCCTCTGATTCAGAATATCTGAGCCACAAGCAGTTGGAGGTTGGAGGAATACTCCCAGAAGTAATGTCAGGACAAGGAGTAATGGTTTTAAGATAGAAAAGGGTGGATTTAGGAAGACATTTAGAAAAAGTTCTTTAATATGAGGGTGATAGATCACTGGAACAGGTTACCCAGAGAGGTGGTGGAGGCCCCATCCCTGGAGACATTCAAGGGCAGGTTTGATGAGCGACCTTTTCTAGGTAGAGGTGTCCCTGCCCAGTGCAGGGGGTTGGACTAGATGGCTTTAGAGGTCCCTTCCAACCCAATATATTCTCTGATGCTCTAAGTATCACACATGCTGCCCCAGCCCTTTATAAATACAGCTTCCACTCCTAATCTTTCTCCAAACCATCAGCCCAACTTCAGGTGTAAACTTTTTCAATATTAAAAAAAATGTTTTTCAATATATCTGAGGGTATTTAATCTAAAAAGGGAGCTTTGAAAAAAATATATCACTGTCTTCCTGTAATGCTCCCAGGTATGTCAGGGTGACTGATGATATATTTCTAGAAGGCAACAGCTTGCAGCACTGAAGTGGAAATCCACAGGCTGAAAAGGAAAACATAGGGAGCCCACAAAATTTTCTGTAAGGCAGCTGTGTGGAGTCCTGTCAACCAACCTCTGCACATTCCTCCTCCAAAATCAAAAATACACCATAAAAATTTGGGGTTTATCTCACTCATTTTAGAATCTCAAGTGCTGTGAGTGCTGCTGTTTGAGGAGGACCCACAGGCTCGCTGCCCTTGGACACCTGGTTTTGCATCAGTGGAAGGGAATATTCTTGTAGGTACCACATCAGGTCATTTTTATTTTGCATGAAACTCATTGCAGTGATGATGTGCTGCATCTGTAACAATTCACCTTAATAATTTCAGATTTTAGCTGGGCTTTGCAGATGTGAACTTCCTAAATTTATTATTTTAAAAACAGTCATTTAAGGGAATCCTGAAAATTTACTTGCTCATCTTTAAAGAAGTGAGACTTGAATCCAAGAGTAGAAAATGCTGTTACAGAAAACATGCAGGTCTGGTCCTTTCCACCTGCAATTAGCCCAACATCCACAATCCCTGCACTGGGGATGTTGCTGTGCATGTCTATACACATTCTTTTTTAGCATCCCTTGTACACCCACTGTCCATGAATTTGCCTGATCCCTTTCTGATCCTGCCTCCACATCTGCCTCCACATCTGCATTATCTATTTTAAAACAATCTCCTACCAGTTTAATCAAATGCTGTTGCAGGACTTGGCAAAGGGTTATGCCTTTAATTGATTTAGTTTCTTTCTGATTTTGTAAACCTTGACCTTATTCTTCCACAGCCTTTTCCTCTCCACACTGATGACCCTCAGCTTTTTCAGCCTGCTTTCTTAATGCAGTGCACCATCCCATGGACAGTTTTAGTTGCTCCTTTCTTGTCCTTATATCTTCCTGTAAATGCACAATCCAGAATTACAGGCAACCGTTCAGATGTTTTACCTTGCAGAAAAGGGCTGTTCTAAACATACATCCTGTGGGCTTTTTGAGCTGCCCCAGCCCATCCAGCTGATGGTTTCACAGCACTACCAAAGGTAAGGAGCCCTTCCCTGAGCTCTAACTGCCAGTTTTGAGCTCAGCCTCCTGCAAGCTTGTTTTGGGTGATATTTTTTTATTTAAAGAGCTGTTTGCTATTGTTTTTTTTAGCACGCTTTTACCACCAGACTTTAAAAAGCAGCTGTGCCTGCTGTGAAATTAAATGTTCAGGATTGCAGGAGATGGCTCCTGTCTGTAACACTCACTGCCTGCTCTCACCTGCATAGTCAAACATTCCCAGCAGCAGTCAGCAGGAGGAACACACAGGGATCAGAGTGTGCTCTGCCCTTCCCAGCTACAGCCAGGTCTCAGCTAAAAACTACCTGATGGCAAATATGAGGTAATTATGGATCCCTTCTAACATGGGTATTACCCTGACGTGATCAAAGTCCACAGGCATCTTTCAAGCTCAAGTTTCACAGCAGCTTAAGGGATTTAAATCCATGCTGTGCAGGCTCCCATCCTTCCCTGTGTCACAGGAGCACCCACGCTGGCACAGAAGAGGCTGTGAAGGGCCATGGAACATGGACTGGGGGCACAGACTGGAAGTTTTCTCAGGCTGTCTTGGGCACAGGAGATCCAAGGGACGTCTCTGCACGCTGCAGTTCTGGGGGAGTCCTACATGTCTAGTTCATCTAATCTCATCCAGTCACACCAAGTTTGTTTTCTCATTATAATTATTTGGGCACATGAAAATGATCTCACTCCCCTTTCAAACATGTTGCAAGAGAAGAGTGAGCACTGCCAGATACTGCAAAGGGAGCTTGCTGCAGAAGAGCAGCAGGTTGTGTTTCCTCTTCATGTCCTTACTTGTCTCCTTCAGCTTCTTTTTAACCAACTTTCTGGTTTACAAGTGGAGCATAACTGCTGTGGATTTTCTGGCTAGTGAACACACACTGAATGCATACTGTGGTCACTGTTACAGAGCACATGAAAAACTAAAATTTCCAAGGTTTCTACAGATTGGTGTTTGACACTGTTTTTCAGTGGATTGTGTTTGAGATTGCCTGGGGCTTTTTTGAACCAACATCAGTGTTTAGAGGTTAATTCCTTACCCATTTTTAAAAGGAAAATGAACTGCCTTCACTTCTGGCAACCCAGGCTGGGCTTTAATCCTGGTGCCAGCTCTTGTTGAGCCATGTCTGCTATCTACAAAGCCCTTTGCCCTGACCCCTGTGCTCACTTGGGTAGTGCAGGGACTCGCCAAGGAAATACTGTGGGGCAGGCAACTAAACCAGCAGCAAATCTGAGGAAAAAAAGCTGCTTTTCACCTACGAGCTCTGAAAGAACACCAGGCTGAGCTGCTAAGGCAATTTCGTGCTGGAAGCATCATCTTGATGTTTAAGGACTAGAGGGTGACGAGAAATATGGAAAGTTTTTAAGCAGTTTGGAGGGGGGATGACAGCAAGTACCGATTGAGGAGCCTGACACCTCTCCAGCGGAAAAACCCCGCTAGGAA